TGTGGCACTGTGTGCAGTTCAGTCAGAGCTAACGTTAATTACGCACCACGAGAGTGCTGCACCACAAAGACCCTTTCGCAGCGTCGGCAAAATTTTACCACTTGTCGTTGTTTTTTCGTATTTTTAGAGTCGAAGAACAAACAGGCAAATCTGCCTAATTACAGGATATCGACTTGTCAGCTTTCACAGCTTAAGGAGCTCCCCCTTCCTCTCGCTCTTAAAGAGCTCCCCCTTCCTCTCGCTCTCTACACGGCAGAAAGCACAGATCACGCTGGAGGAAGTCTAGTTCAGGATTTCACCAGCGCGTGATGGGAAACCATGGATGGGTTTGAAATGTGCCACCCATGATGTCCATCCATGTGCTGTTTACCTGCGGAATGAAGATGAAGCTGATGACTAACAGCGAGAGGAGAAGATTGAGAAAGACCAGCCAGCGTAGGAAGAGGAAATACGACACGACTCCGGTACCGAATCGACCTACAGAAGACAAAACGCACAAACACACATGATGCACACATTAGGGAGGGGGGGGGGGAGGCGAATGGGGGGGGGGGGGGAGGGGGGAAGCGGGGGGGGGGGGGGGGGAGTCCTGTAAAATAAACAGATTCTAAGTGACCAGTTTTCCCTCTTAGTTTCCAAGGAAACCAAAGTGCAAGTCAATGAGCCCATATCCAAGCTCTTGATAAGAGGAAGTTTTGCCAAGTTTCTTTACTGGCTTCTCATCAGGCATGCACATAAAATGGAAATGCTCGCCCTTTTCCGCCTTTTTAGGGCATAATTATTGAAAGAAAATCCTTTGATTCCTTTCCTTCCTTTTTTGGAAATCTACACTCGAAACCTTTATCCACAGTCAGGGACCACCCAAAAGTGCTCGCCTCTTATGCCTTTTTAGGAATTTTCAAAGGAACCTCCTGTCCTCCTTTTTTCGGTGGTCCAGGGGAAATATCTGCATTTTTTCTTCTGTTTAGATGCATTGTATAATTATGAAGATGGAGGCGAGAGCAGTAAGCATTACACGTGTGTAGGGCTCCATGCTCTCAGTTTGTGTAGATTGAAGCACAGCGAGGGCATCACACAGCTGCATCGTTCGACCTCAGGGAGGACTGCAACCACCACTCATTTTTTGTATCATGGGTTCGTGGCATTATTATGACCTCAATATCCAGCAGGACACTAGCTTGATAGCCTCTCTTTGGTGACGGTATACTGGCCTTATATGGCGCTCTTCACTCACACGCTTACTCTGGTTTGTTGTACAATCATGTTGAAAGGTCAACATTTCGTTTTTAACCCTTTACCGATTTAGGTATTTGTACAGAAAAAACCGACCGTCATTGTTCATGCCGTTACTTATTTATTTTTCACTTTTATTATGTGCAACATAGGGTGATTCTGAAAGTAAAAACCCTCAGGCATGTGATCCAACAACTTTCAATTCCAGAAAACGGAAAAAATTCACTATTGAGCACATGAACTTTGGGTTTATTGCAGATCGGGCAAACTGTTGCAATGTGCCAGGTAACAATCAAAAGAAATCAGATTCTTGCACTGGAGTGGCATCCTCAGGCTGGTTCGTTCTCTGGGTGGAATGCAGGAGTGTTACCAGTCACAGCAGTATCAGCATTGTCTCACGTGTTGCAAATATCGACTAGTGCAGCCTACACTGCTGGCTCTACCTGTGCACCACGACCTCTACCGCGACCACGGCCGATTTCACGGCCGTGTCCTCTCCCTCTGCCACGTCTCCCTACACCAGTTGTAGCACTTATCTCAACGGCACTGTCGTCTGTGATATCCATGTCACTCTCGCTGGCGCTGCTTTCACTCAACATATCGTCGCTGTCGTCGTCAGAAAAAAATAATTTCAACAGAATCTTCTGGCTCCACCAACTCATCTTCGCTGGATGAGGCGGCAACAGGGTCGTCAGGAAGGGTCTCCAGAAGCAAAAGAGCTTGCTCGGCGTCCATGGTTTGCACAGCAGGGCAGTCGCGAGGCCAGCTCAAGCGAAAGTCGAAAACATCTTACCCCAAAGAGCATTTTTCAAGTTGCGATTTCCGCAATTTTTTATATTGCATTACACAAAAAATGTGTTGGCAACCTCTGCGCGTACATCTTGGCTATCAGTAGGGGAAATCCCTGCTCTCTGCGGTGAACCAGTCTAGCGCTGTGCGCATAGAAGTCATCGACCGCGAGCGATCAAAATATGTACGCACAAACGGTAAAGAGTTAACCTCTATCGCCCAGAGAAAGGCGAAATTATTTTTCTAGGCAAGAACCTTTGGGCGGTTTCTATCCGCGACTGCAGACGTTGCAAGTGAAATTCAGCTGTGTGTGTGTACACACTCGTTGCTCGCCCTACATAACACTATCCAAGCGTCTCGAGGGTGTTGAGAGCCTGCACCGGTCCAGACGCCACTTGTGATATTCGCCATGCCCATTGTGCATTGCCAAATATGGAAGGTATGAGTAATGCATGTGAGTACACTGGGATCAGGAATGCACTGTTCAACACCCCCAGACGAGCATGCCCAGGTGGCTGTGAGGGGTGTTTATGGTACAAATTACGTCATTGCGCAGTGGGCTTATGTCACACTTACCTTCAATCCGCTTCATGGTGCCACGCCACAAGCCCAAGTGGTAGAAGAAGTTGGCCATCGACTCCTTCAGTAGTTTCCATTTCTACACAACACCAAGACAGAGTCACATTTGCAAACACATATACACCACCAGCAATGAGTATCGCAAAGAAAGGGCAACGCTGTTGATGGTCTGCCATAGATAGAAGTACAACGCATCCACTAGCCACCTGACATGGATTCAATACGACACGCGGCTTTGCCCTGGAATTCACCGGTGACTACTGGTGGCAAGCGGAGCAAAAGAGAACGAAATGGCTGACAGCAGTGCAACATAAGCTATGCAAGGTGTGAATGTGTTAGACAAGGTGCCAGCTAATCGGCTATAAAAGGTAAAGTTCGAACATCCGCGCTACCACCGGCTAAACAATTGTGTTGAGAAGCGCAACCAGCTTAGGAAACTTTCGCTCATGCCAGGCTGCCACCATGCCTGGTATACCAGGGTGGCAGATGCAGCGCCTAACGGTGAGGGTGAGGTGGTAACTCTCACAACCAATGCCCGACAAGGAGGGCATTTTAAGTACCTGTAAAGAGAGTGCATGAAGTGCCAAGGCTTTAAAGTACCTGTAAAGAGAGTGCATGAAGTGCCAAGGCCAAGACAAGCAGCACGCTCTACTCCTACACACTTTCAAGCCGGTGAGGATGACGTGACCGCTGCCGCTGTCGACGGCACGGCGCTCCAGTCGGCGGGAAATCGGCGCTCGGTGTTTGCACAGTGACGGCGATAAGACTATCAGCTCAACTTCCCGCGTGCTGTTGCTACTGCTGCTGCTGCTGGGTTGCATTCTGCTTCACACTGTGAATAGGTGGACTGTCAGCCACTAGGCCTAGGGGTCCAGTTCCCAATGAGCTACTGTGAATAGTGTGCAAACTGGACTCGCACATGGCGCTAGAGTGTAGTACAACACAAGCCAGCAACACACCACCACGCCATGGCCAGCAGCAACTCCACACTCCACGAGGCACTGTACTAGCTGTGTGCTCTTAGACTTCAGGGTTAGGAATGACTTTATTCTGAGATCTTACTCTGCTTATAGAAGGCCCTAACCAATCAGAGGTAGACCCCCCAGGGATTTCTGGGAAGACTTCATAGTACTACCAAGAATAGCACACACACACTAAATACATATAAGGAGAAAGGCCCTGGGGCATATCACAGGGATTTGATTGCCAAATATGAACTTCCCATACAACAACGTGAAGATCATTATCACCACTACCAAATATAGACCCACAACAAATGTAGATCATTACCCAAATATAGATGAACAATAATAGATCATCACCTAGTAATAGACATACAACATAACCCCCCCCCCCCCCCCCCTGCCAATTTAAGTCATGCCCACATGACTTGAAACGCAAAGAAAAATCGTAAGCGTGCAGCAGCGCAAAGTAAATCTACCACAACGAAAACGATGAAGAACAACAGAACGACAACCAAATGCAAACAATACAGCAACAAGCAACGAACTCAAGAGAAGCAAGATCGGTCAACACAGTGAGCAGGACAACAAAAAGACGAAAAACAAAAAGGACAACACACAATCGGCGATGCCAGACACATCCACTGGCCTCTGGCGAGCCACGGGCACACGCTCCAAGCGGTATCTGCCGTACCGGGCTCCAGTCTATCTGCATTGGCCACCTTTTCATTGGGCAGATCTGCCCGTTTGGTTTGCGAATTAAAATAAAAAATAAACACAACAACAGTCCACAGCTTGTGTCGGTCCACCACCTCCTCTGCCTCCTTTTACACCACCTTGACTTTCCCACCAGCTCCTCTCTTGATCATCTTCTCAGTTCTCACGCTTGCAAATCTTTATTCTCCCGATCGCTTGCAGTACAGGTTGACGACGACAAACAGAATCATCCTCTGCGTCCCGGTTTTCGGCAGCACGTTGCAACGGAATCACAGCCATTCCGTTCCCCGGGACGCAGGACACAAAGGACAAGCTAGTTTGTTTTACATTATTATTGGGGATACTTCCCTACGTCTTCAGCCTTCATCTTTCTGCCTTGCTCCTTCCGCCATCTGTTTCCACTTTCTTCCTTCTGGCCACCGCTGCCACCAATGTTGTCCCCACTCTCCGAGGCACTGTCTGCTCTTAGTCTTCAGGGTTAGGAATGACTTTATTCTGAAGTCTTACTCTGCTTATAGAAGGCCCTAACCAATCAGAGGTAGACCCCCCAGGGATTTCTGGGAAGACTTCATAGTACTACCAAGAATAGCATACACACTAAATACATATAAGGAGAAAGGCCCTGGGGCATAGCACAGGGATACGATTGCCAAATATGAACTTCCTATACAACTACGTGAAGATCATAATCACCACTACCAAATATAGACCTACTACAACTATAGAGGTTATGCGATAACGTCAAATCCGTCATATATAGGAGCCAGTTGGGGTGGCAAAATGCCCAAAGCGGGCACAGACACCCCTTATATAGAAGAATTTGGGGTGGCAATGACGTGTATCGCATAACCTCTATAGATCATTGCCCGAAATAACGATGAACAATTATAGGTCATCACCCACTGGCCCAGCACAACACGTTCTTCACTCCCTGCAGCACTTACCAAGCCTATTTGCCACTTGACTTGGCGATACGCTGACACGCGCTGGCCAGCCGGCCTAACATAGAGCACAGGGCACACAGCACACAGAATTGGCCATTCCTGCCACATATTTGCTAAAACACAGTGACTAAGTTTTTCCAAGTCAAAAAATGACGACGTAAATGGCAGCAAGTAGGTGAGACATTCTTCCTTATTGGGTCTTGGCAGATATGTAGGGTTGCATTGGATAATGCTCTTAAAATATTAGCATCTCAGATTCATCTCCTCTTGCTACATTTGGAAGACCTGGATCTTATTTTTGGAATTTTATAAGTAGAGGATATAAGGCCACACATTTTTATTTCTATGTTTCTCGTCACCCGCGCGCATACGATTCAGGAGTCTGGAAGAAAAAAAGAAAAAAAAACTGTGCTGCAGTGACTGTGCATGTGGGGACCAGCACACTCATGCACATGTACATAATTTGGCCTGGCCTGCGCGACACATGATGCAAGGACGGCATTTTTTTTGCGCAATCTAGCTGCAAATGCACAGATTGTGACAGAAGCTCCAACCACATACTAGTACTATTACTAGTTGCTAACTATGGATGCTATTTTGCATGGTGTATTGGTGGATTTTAGTGTGAACAAAGGTCTAATAAGCTTTTTTTGTTTTTCGGTCATTTTTTTTTCCACCTCTCGCAGACGTTTTTAGATTTTCAGGTGACGAGAAATATAGAAATAAAAACGTGTGGCCTAACCCAAGTCAGAGGGTTATACCGGCTGAATATAAATCCCGACTGCGATAGCAGGAGGGATTTATATTGAGGGTACGGTATAACCCGGCTCCGAGGGTCATATCCTACTTATGCCAGGTACCCCTACGCATTTCCAGAACAACGAACCTTGTTTGGAGATCTCCTAGATCCTGCAGTGTATGACCATGTTCTGCTGGTTATCAGTTGTAGAGAAAGAATGGTAAAGCAAGATCAGAAGGAGATTCCTCCGTGGATGTTTGGCATAAGATTTCCTTTCAGTTCCAGTGCATATTGTAGCATATTGTCTCGTGAGCGGTGTAGAAGTCAACTAGCTGTTCGGAGATTGAGAAGATAGGTAGAGAGATAGAGAGAGGTACAGTTAAGTTAAAGATTCTTCTCCTTACCTAGTTGGCCTTCTGCGCATGGACTGCCTGTGAGCATGAGCAGATGACGCTGAGCGGCCGGCTTCCCTCAGGCTGGGCAAGACGTCGTCAACCTCATCTTCAACAAACTGCGGTGATTCGCGCCCACTAAGTACAAAGAAGGGAGGGAGTAGAGAGAGAGATGGATAGAGAGAGAGATATAGAGAGAGGCAGAGAGACAGATTGTATGGATGGACAGACACACAGACCAAGGGAGGATAAGCAGGGGAAAAAGGAGAAGACAAAAACAGCGAGTTTTACCGCAAGATTGCGCCGGGGGGTAGACAGGAAAATCAAATCAACTGACATAGCAGATATGAGGTCTGGAATTGGATCCCTTTCAATTCTGGAGAAACAGGTCTACAAAGGCAGGTCTTGCTTCCACGCAGCACACAGTAGCAAGCCGGTAGCGCCAATCCAATACATGCCCACAGTGCTGCGTTAGTCAAGATTGCACCCTGCACCATGTCATAGTCCACGTGTTCACCGGTCTAGGGCTGCACAGCACCTGTCAAGTACTGGAATAACACGATCGGATTTCATTGAGCAGCACCGTACATGCATTCCATCGAGAAGAGGATGCTGCTTTATAGTTTAGGACAATAGATATGCCAAATAATACGCTGTGAGATTAGGAAGGGCACCGCATACAATTTTACTACAATGTGTACACGGTAGGCCCTGAGCTCTGCAGGAGCACAAGTCACAGGTACTTCAAACTAACCGCACAACTTTGAACTTTGTAAGCAACTACTCTGCAACGCCCTCCCAAGTCTAGCTGCGCGTTATTCGGCATATCGTCTATTCGCTTACTTGCTGTTTATCTGCGGCCGAGTCATGGATCTGTGCACGGTCTGGCGTCGGCGAATGGTTGCCGCGGTGCTGGCCTGCTCTCGCCGACTGGGCAGCTCGTGCATGAACTCACAGCCCTCCACCATGCCACCACCGGCGCGGCCCGACATGCTGCGGGTCATGCCAACTGGCGTACCACAACAACAGCAGCAGCAACAGCAGAAGCCACAGCAACAGCAGCAGCAGCAGTAACAGCAGCAGCAGCAGCAGCAGCAACAGCAGTAGCCACAGCAGCAGCAGCACGAATAGCATCACTTTCTTTGAGTGAAAAGTTTGAATACAATGCACGAAAAGTACTGATGGTAGTATTGGAAGTAGATGCAAAGCACACTGATGGCAAGAACAAATAAGGAGGTCTCTTTCCTTTCATACCGCATATTCTCTATTATAAGCGCAGGTCTCCATTACTAGCACAGTCTCTAATACTAGCACACTGTGAGCACCTTTCGAAACATTATAAGCACAGTCTCTATTATTAGCACGGTCTTGGTGGAAATCAATGCGGGATGCATGATATCTAGCATGTATTTCTTCTTGCTCTGTACGGATGTATTGGTTGAAAAATATAAGCACGGTCTCCAATATAAGCACGGGGTAGAGGGCTGTTGAAAAAATATAAGCACAGCGCTTATAATAGAGAATATACAGTAATTGTTTTCGCATCGTTTCCATCACTTGACATTGTTAAATAAAGTACCTCAATGTCACTTCAGCTTGTCCTTCTTGTTGCGATACTCAGGCGCGTGCACCGCGTCGTTTTCTTGGAGCCCGGAAACCACCTTTTTTTATGAAGTGCATTCTGCAAACACTCAAATATTTCGTAACTCGGCTTTCCCTGAACGGAATTGAGTAATCGAAAGGTCTATTCGCATTAGAAAGTTCTCAGCTGTCGACTACAACAGATCCGAAGTCGATCCAAGGTCGAATAGTGGAGCTACGGCACTCGACAGGTATTCTACGTCCCAGTGCGGGATTCACAGAAGCTTTTTTGCGATGCGACACGCGATTGCAAATTTTCACTTCCGCACTTGGGTGGCAATCATATTATTTGTCATAAATATTTTCCTCTATTGCACGACAGTCCAGACATGCATAGACATGTTTGACGTCAGGAACAGGTCTTCAGCGGTCAGCTACAAAAGAAAGGAGCGCTCTACGATGAACACTACAAAAATACCATGGATCCTAGCGAATTGTCTCAAATTCCGGTTGCGCGTGTCTTCCCAGGGCTATAGACTAGCGCCACTGCGGACTCAGACAGTGACATGGATTGACCTGCTTCTTTGACTCACTTACTAGCAAGAGTATCTGAATCTTCCTTCACTACTTCGAACTACGTGTATAACGTCGGCTAGCCTATCCATTTATCCTATGTCAGGAAAATGCCTTTGTACTACATTTGTTTTGATGGCTCGGTGGGACTGGCAGCCTTTCTTTCAGTGTGTAATGCGTGTAATACTGCTGAATCTGCAGGTACATGTACATGTAGCTTATTGCAAAATGGCGGTCGAATTTTTTTGGAAACCACCTTTTTTGACCCGGTGCACGCGCCTGATACTAATAACTGTTATTGTATGTCTTGTGATAAGTTGGAGACCAAGATAATCAATCCTAGTCTTACGTTGTGATTGCTGACCATGCGATTGGTTAGGCGGTTGCTGGTGACCAGGTACTGGGGGGTAGTACTGCTCATCTTCATAGTCTAAACAACGACACACACACGCACATGTGCACACACACACACACACACATACACACACGCACACACACACGTGTACATATGCAACACACATACACATACACACACGCATACGTACACACACACACACACACACACACACACCAAACACACAGGGCACAACACAGCATATGAGGATGCCGTACCTTGGGCATAAATGGCAGGTAAACCAAATGGTAGAATTGAAAATATAAAAAATAGGGTACAGTTAACAAAACAAAACAGGGGTAGCTGTGCAAGTTCCGAAAGTTGACGCAGATGGGTTTTTTGAGGCCTGAATTTAGTTCTCTCGGTTCAGACAACATGACATGACGTGACCACCGCTCTTCCATGCACTCATCAATACGTCTGATGTGCTCTACGCTGTGCACTGTGCTCGGGGACTGGGCCGGTAACATTGCTTGGCCGAGTGCTGCAATTGAACGGGTTGCGGAACATTTCGGTTTGGCGGATGCAAATAGTCAGAACCGGCCCTCAGTTTATCAGCCAGATGAGTTAGCTCACCTGGTTTAGAAAAGCCAATGTTGGCGGAATTTACGTTTCGGACGGACTTTTCCATGCATTTTACTATGCCCGACTATCTTTGGTACAACCTGACTGAATTTTCGACTCCTGGTTCTTTTTCTTTTCCACCCTCATACCTACGTGGTGAGGAAGATTTGCAAAAACCAAGAAAAACACAAAAAACAACAAAAAATCAGCGCAGAATATATGGTCACCGGTGATTTCTTATCTACCACTTTTCATTCGAAACACCGAAAAAGTTATTTTTCGCTTTCAGAAGAACACGATGCACTGTACAAGCAGACCATTTAGTCAGTGAATAATGTTGTCCTGCTCCAAAGAAAGTGAATTATCCAATTTTCAGTAGGAAAACTCGATATACGAAAAGGTCTAAAATTCAGCTCCCGACAAACATGTCTGCTTATACTAGTCTGTATCAGATGCAGTATCTGACGCTGTATCCGGTCTCGGTACGTTCGAACGGCTGTCAGTGGTGGTATGCAAGCATCTTATCAAGTTTTAAAATGTACAGGTAGAGCATAGGCTTCAGTATGTAGCTAACGATCGCTGGGTTGGGCAAACATACTCTCGTCTACACCCCTGTGAGCACACTGCTAAAAATGACCAGAAATGAGCGTTACGTTGACATTTCACCGTGCCCCAATTTAGACGATCAATTCAACTGATCTAACTGGGATGGGCTAGCTCAGAGACGGCTCAAGCTTTGACTGCCCATGGACCTCCTGCAGGAGATCGCGGAGAGGGCTTTTCTCATGCACATCAGGGAATCCTGGCTTCTTAACAGGACCGGCGGAAGCAGTTTTGGATTGGTCCGGCCATGCCACGGCCGTTCGTACCTTGTGTATGAGGTGGTGGGTATACATGACCCTCTCAGCAGTTACAGGCGCGTGCTCGGCGATGGGCACGGGGGGCACGTGCACCCCCCAAATATTTCAATCTGGGTAATTGCAATTGTAATGTATGCAAATATGCTCTAAAATTCAAGAAAGGTTGCAAACAAATTGCAGAAAATTGCCGGGGGGGGGGGGCTCCCCTCGGCTCCCGTGCACCCCCCTAGTTGGGGGGCCGACCACGCCCCTGAGTTAACACATGGTGGTCGTCAAAGAGGTGGTCCTGCCATGGCCTGACCAACTGGACCGGTTCTAGCCTAGGCAAACTGCAAAAGTTCATACTAGTGCCTGAAGCGAAGTGCGTCGTTTCGACGGGGGGAGGGGGGGGGGGAGGGGGATAGGAAGTTCTACATGTTCCATGCAACTCGTAATCGGGGTCAAGGCGGCTGGCCCCAAATGCGGCCCAGATTGCGATGCCATGTACAGACATGCATAAATCGGCCCTGTCCAAGGGCGAACTGTGGGCCGCCTGGAAGCACAACACCAATTCAACTTTTTGCCCATGTTGTCTCCCTATACCAGGGCTCCCAGGTGCTGCGTTTCTGCCTTCTCAAACCAGAGCAGTAGCCCGCTAGTAATCAATGCCAGCATGCAGTTGAGTGCAAATAAACTACAGCACAATAATTCAATAGGACATTGTCTTGTCATGATCTTAGATTTTGTTTGTGTTAGATAGGTACTGGGGGTCTCCATTTACTTGGAGCATGGACGGTGCAAGTACCACTCCAGTTGTGATGGCTTGAAGCGGTGTATGCGCTTCCGTCTGTGTCAACCACTGTGAGTAGTGTTACTCAGCAGGGACGCAACTCTTGCTGAGCAGCGGACAATGGAACCACGTGCTCGCACGAGCGTCTTTACCCCGGCGGCGTGTTTCCACGCTGTCAAACTAGTAATGGAAAAAACGGCGAAGGCGAGAAGGCAGGCAGTGTTCCGGTGTGCACTCGCATTATCAGCAGGTGACACGAACAGGTCGAGCAGTACCAGACGCAACGACCAATTATTAATAATTTAGTATTTTTGATTTTACTGATCAAGAGTTCTGTTTGTTCGAGTGTGTTTTGTTTACCGTACGCCGCTCACGGAACGTGAACAAGCGCTTCTGCAACAAACACTATAACTTTCTGATCGCTTGGTCACAACATGAACGAAGTAAGTAATTTTGTTGATTTAGAAATCGGAATACATCGCATTATAGGAGGGATAATTACTGGTGACTTCGAAGTAGGGCAATCGAATTATCCCGACATAGATACGACGAGCGTTCTCGCTGATGAGTACATCAAGGTAGTCACGCACACACACCCCCAGAAAATTAATTGCACCTAAAAGTAAAAGCCTAGTAAAAGGCTAAAAGCTAGAAATGCCAGAGCAGCTAGAAAAGCTCCAGGTTTCCCAGCGGACTCACCCGGAATCACACAGCACTCACCAGGATCGACATAGCCAGGACCCTGGCCGTTGTAGTCGTTGCGAATGTGCTCGTCTGCCACGCCGAAGTTCGCCATCTCGACGTCGTCTCTGACCATGCGATCGGAGCTCCGCTGACTCGGCGGGAACATGTTCGCCTGCCAGTCGCCTTGGTCCGTCATTCTTCCACTTCGCTAGTCAACAGTGCGCCCCTACCCTGCAGACAAGTCACTGCAGCCACCACTAAAGGGAGACTGGATTTTTCGTGAAGGTTCAGGCTCACCCACGCCGCGATTGCTTGGCCCCACTCACTCAGCACAATATCAAAACTCTCAACATCTCAGCCAGCGTGGTTCTTGATTGTTGGCCACCGGAACGAAAGGGTGACAAAATAAAAATTGATGCGAACTCCCATCAGGAAACACTCCCTGCACTCGTGAGCCTAATGTCTAAAGATGCGGCAATCAGCACCAGCCTCCAGTGCATCTCGCTGCGACTCGTACCAGAACTCAGCAGGAGGCTGGACACGTCTACACGGACGGTCCACCTAGCTAGATACAGCCGCTGACGTAGACTGGTAGAGTAGCGTGAGTTGGAGGTAGGTCTACTACTACACTTGTAGGTGTGTGCTGACATTGACAAACGAGCTACGTGCAAACAAAGCCAAGTCAATGATAAATTCGCTAGTCGAGAGATAAAGATTTGACCCATTCCAAGGCTGTCGTCGTGCACACACAATTATTAATTTTTTTGTCGACTGAGTCACTGACTCAGTGACTGCATGCAGACTACGACTGACTCCGTAGACGATAGACTGACTGACTGACTGTAGTGTCAGTGACTGACTGGCTCTGTGGATAGTCTGTACTAGTCTGTAGTGTGGTCTAGCGTAGACTACTGTTAGTACAGGTTTTGTTGACTTGTGGCTTGTGCAGGGCAGATGCAGAGGTGTAAGTGATAGACCTGCATGATACAGCGTAGCCCTGTTGTCACCACTTGCCTCGACAGATCGCCACATGCCATGGCACATGCACACCACACTCTGACCTTCAAGCCAGGCTGTGTTCACTGTTCAGCCAGGCTCCACGTGAGTGCGATGGTGATTGCGATCTCAACTAATAACCAGTGATAACTGTTACTTCAAGACGAGGGCTACTAAGTACTACTACTACTAGGGCCAAGGCAAGTGCCAAGATAAGCCTGGCACAAACACTAGAATTAGTAACTATTAAAGGGGTCGTCCGTATTTTTCGAAAAATTAAAAAATCCGTCCTCAGGCAAAAAGAGAGTGGGTGGTCAAGAGTGCTGGCGGAATTAATTTTTTTGATTTTTCGTACTTTTTTTTTTTGCTCCAGTGACTTTCATACACTTGTTGCACTGATTATAGCTGACTGTGTACTGTACTGTAGACGTAGTGTAGGATCGATTGTCGCTAACACCAGTATCTACTATGATATACAGGACTTTCATGTAGTTGTAGGACGGTGCATGCATGGCCGGGACGTCGGTAGACCTAATACTCACTGTACTTAGCTACTAGTACTTGACACAGGTGCAGTCAGAAAACATGGGGTCAGGAGTTCTTATTTTTCGAGCTGGGCATGCCGGCATCGGTAATCCAAAAATTAATGGGAAAAAATGAGGGGTGGGTGGGTGGGTCAGAGACAATTTTGCACGAGGACGGATTTTTTAATTTTTCGAAAATTACGGACGACCCCTAATACGAATAGTAGAAATAAAAGAGACTGATTTCGTTCCAGCCTAGCGCCTTGGCCCTGGTATGGAGTATCGAGTACCGCATCCTGCGGCATCGTGCGCACTCACACGGCCGGCCAGCTACTACATGTACATGCGGTGACGCTCTTGCCCTGGTGCCTGATGAGTGATGGCCTGATTGGCCTGCCCGTGGAGGCCCAGGCGGAGGAGTAGACCTGGTACCAGGCCAGAGGCAGGGGCAGTGCTAGACGCTGAGCTGAGCGGAGTGCGAGACGCTAGACTACTGAGTACTGTCCCAGTTGATCTGTAGTAGTAGTACCAGGGAGTAGTAAAATACAGGGAGGTGACACGAGCATGTACGGCCAGTTTGACGATTGCCTCAGCACCGTTTTCACCCGGCGGGTGAGATTGGGGTACTATAGTTACCGAAGTGTGTAGACACGCGCGCGGATCAGGATTCTCTTGATCAGGGAGTAGTAAAATACCTACCGTCAAAGGGACTCATACTGCAGCCAAGAGTACATAACCCCCCAGAGTGTGCAACTCCACTATGGGTGCTGTCCCGACAGAATTTCAAGTTGACGTCATTTTGATGATGCAATGCGCACTGTACACGGATTATCAGACGAATCCATAACCTGTGGTTGACCGAAGCCGATCGATCCTGTACAAATTGTTGCAAAGAAAAACGTGTGATGCGTTGACACCCGTACACATGTTGTAAATCACTGGTGCAAGGAGCATTGCGTCATAAATAATGACGTCAACTTGAAATTCTGTCGGGACAGCAGGGTATGTGGGAGTTGCACACTCTGGGGGGTTATGTACTCTTGCTGCAGCCCGTAGAAACTCAGCGCTGAGAATTTCTAACAATTGTCTGCCTTCACAAAGTTTGGTAGTCGACCAAACTACCACTATGTCAGGATAGAAGTCCAGCAAGAGTGGTATCACTTTGAGAGATATCCCCTGCGTGCCGTAGATTTTTCCTGTATCGATACAAGCTGTTTACGACGACGTAGCCCGCATTTCAATCCTTGACAAACTTAGGAACATTTCATTCCGAAAAGTGAACTCCCGAATCTCTAGCATACCATAATATGAAATGCTCATCATCACAAAGAAGGTAGAGAAGTACTGGTTGATCACAACTGAGGAGAAATTAGTGCCGATCATGTGGTGTCCTAGAGATTTTTTCGACTTCGAAATCGGTGCACTCGCTTTTCATCTCCAATCGTACACGTATTGTTCTCAAGGAAATCACCTTCGTTCTATTGCTCCATGCCGTCGATCGGGACGAATTTCGGAAGGGTGGTACCTTTCCATATGACGATGACACAGATGTATCACAAGAGCAAAACAAATGCTGTTCCATGAGATGGATAGACCTTTTCACGGAATTAGTTCTTCAACAAATACTCAAGATTGATTCAGCAGATCATCTTTTTTTGCGAAAGAAAAAAAAACAAGCGCGAGGCACCCATCAAAAATCACGATTAGTGGCGTGTCACCTCCCTGTATTTTACTACTCCCTGGTAGTACTAACTACAAAAATGATCCAACGTCAGATTGGCTGGTGAAGGTTTCAGATGAGAATGTGGAAGCCGTGCGCCTCTGGAGGTGGTGTGTGAGTACCAAAATAATGACGGTTTCTGCCGAGTAGATCTACATGTGTACCTGCTGGGCGAGTTGAATGTGCAGGCGGACTGGCGGACCATTGGTCGAGGCTGAATTTCGACTCGGAATGGAAGTTGAGCCCTCTGGTATTCCGTGGTTTGCTCCAGTGCATATCACCAGTGCCGGAAGTCGATCTGTTTGCCTCTCTCGGGTCACGACACAGTTGCCTCGCTATGTCAGCTGGCAACTGGACTCGTTTGCGTGGAGGATCGATGCGTTCACTCTCAGTTGGTCCGACCTCCGCGGTAACGCATTTCCTCCATTCAGTCTGATATCGCGCCGTCTGCGAAAGGTGGCGCGGGAGGAGGTGTCCATGTGTCTAATGATCACACCGATGTGGCGGGGTGCTCCCCGATTTCCTCAGCTGTTGGACCTGTGTGTGGAGACTCCCATACTCCTCCCTCACAGTCCGGAGCTCTGGACGAATGCCCTCGGCGAGCCATATCCACTGGCACGGGCACTGGTGGTGGCACAACAGCTACGGCGCTGCAATTCCATGCTCAAGACAGTACTTCAAATCGCCTTTGTATTAATTGATTTCTGCCAATTGGCTAGGGGTGTGCGGATAATGCTCGAAACGGTGGCAGATTCTGCTCGAAAAGCAGTGAAATCGGCAGAACCATACAAACCTTATGGCGGGCAATTCCTCGAATTCAGCTCCATTTCTTTATCCACATACCAAACATGCATGAAACTTACCAGAAAAAGTACCGAATTCTGCCAAATTTTCTGCCGGCATTATCCGCATATGCCTACAATTGGCGCACAACCTCCTCCTGCTTGCCCTTTTTCGGCGGTAAAATCGGAGGGATAGCCATGGCTAAGCGCCGGAGTAAGCGGTGTGGTGGGTGGGACTGTTACATGTACGCTCTTTCTGCGGGACAAGCAAGTTCAATTTCCTGAGCTTCAACGCTCGCAGCTTGTTCAACAAAATGGACGAGATTGCGCAGGTAGCCATAGAAAAGAGACCCAGTCTTATCGCCATATGTGAAACTTGGGCAAACCCCCTAGAGCCAGACTCTCTATACGAACTCCCCGACTACTCCCTTTATAGGCATGATCGGCAGCACTGTAGAGGCGGAGGAGTCGCCGTGTATGTTCACTCATCCATCCCACACAAACACAAAACAAACATCACGATGAGCAACTTCGAATCACTCTGGCTCGAACTTGACCTACCGAATGTATCACTTACAGTCGGATGCTCCTACCGTCCTCCAAACACAGATCCCTACACATTCTGCCAACAACTGGAGCCCTGTCTAGGTCTCTGCAACATGAACTCTCCGTTTCTATTGGTAGGAGATATGAACGCAAAGCACACTTCATGGCTTCCCACTGATATCACTGATAGAGCTGGCGACCTGCTGAGCTACCTACTAGACACTGCAGGATTAAACCAGCACGTGTCTTTTCCGACCTGTATTTCCAGAGGCAACTTGAAGTCCTGCCTCGACGTTGTCATCTCCAACGTACCAGAAGAAGACTTATCTGTCACATCGTATCCCCCTGTCGGAGCGTCAGATCATGTACTCGTCGGAGGACATGGGTCCCTTGCATGCCCACCACAAGCACCAACACCCCAGCAAAACGTCGAAGCTTGGCGCTGGAACTGGGACCCTGATCGCGTCGTCGCACTGAAAGAAGCCCTGAGCTCAATGCAGCTTTTGCCACCAGCTAAGGAAATCCCGCAGTTATCAATGACAGACCTCTGGTCGCATTGGCATGACTCGCTTATCAACACAGCACACTTGTACTGTACTAACTTCGCACCACGACGTACACACCAGACATGCCCAGGTCGTCGACCATGGATGACTCAACAGCTTCTTTGCAGCATTAAACTCAAGCATCAGCTCTACCGTCAGTATCTCAGAACTCGCAGCGCCGAGAACTGGCTCACATTCGTTACTCAACGCAATAGGACCACAACACTACTGAGAGAAGCTAAATCCGCCTTCGTATCCACTACCGCGCAAGGCAACGTAACTGGTGTCCCACAGCGAAACCTGTACAAGTTAATGAAATCACTGCGGTCGTCCCCGAAAAAGGAGCTTCCACCTATTTCAGCGAACGAAACAGTGGCTAGATCAGATGGAGAAAAGGCGGAAGCGTTTAACAATTTTTTCATTTCGGAAAGCCAGAAGTCCGTCTCCGGACCAACTGAAGCCGCGCCAGAGATTGGCGTGTCGCGCATCATCGGGAGCGAACTGAAGGAAATCGTCACCACCCAGGAGGAGGTCAGAAAACTCCTTTCCGCTCTTGATTTCCGGAAGTCGGCTGGGTACGATGGCATCCCAACGAAATTGCTCAAGA